CAGTAGTTCCTGATTTCTATTTATTTCATGTCACTTCTTAACAGCTGAAGCCATTTGGATTCAAGTGTTTGATTCAGATAGCAGTAAATCATGAAGCGAATTGATTTTTCTGATAATGTTTTAGCTGGCAAAATAGACAGTTTAATGTCTGTTTGAAATGTCTGCAGTTGCAATCAGTGTCCCACCATCTTGTATCTTCTGCTACAATCCTACACCACTTTCTTCATGTCCAAATCCCCCCCTCCTTTCTGTATCAAAACCTCTTTGTTCCTATTCTGATACCTTCTTATACTGCAAATCCTCCCAGTATAAAAAAAAAAAAAACACAAGAGATTAAATGAGAGGCAGTGATGGAGGGGAGCAAAATCTCTCAGAGGAGAAGGGCCCATTAAGCGAGTCCCCTTTTTTCCTCCTAAGAATGCTCCCAGAGATGGAAGCAGATGAAAGAAAGGGAATAAAGGATAGCTGTCCATACTTTCTAAAGATAGATTTTTCCTTTTTACTCCATGAGGGAGACTAACGGGATGGCAGGTTAGGGGATTGGATTGAAGATGGAGGCCAGGTCGTTTCAAAAACAAGAGTAGAAGAAAGAAGTCTTTTGGGATAACTGACAGAATGACAAAGAGCTGCAAAAGTATTCATACCCTTTGACTTTTTTGGCATTTGGTCACATGACATAAAGCGTGAGTGATTAGATTTATGATAGATCAACACACTTTAGCACATCCTTTACAAGTTCAATGGACATATACATGGATTTAATGTTTTATGCATATAATTATCTGTTTTGACTAAGTTGATTAGTGCTTTGTTGTTGGTTGGTCATATAAAATTTTTATCAAATACATTAATTTGTTTGATAATTGAATGAAAAAAATGAGTAAAGATTCAAAGGGGTTGCAAATAACTGTGAGACACTGTGATTCACAGACACCAATATGTCCTGTAAAAACAAATTATATAGATTTCCAGCAAGCTCCGTAAACCAGTCAGTTAAATCATTGTTTTATGCATTAGTTATTCTCTGTATCGACCTATTTCATCTTATTGCATATCAACAAATGCAGATTTGTGCTTCAGTAAACAAGAATTTTGGTTATTTTGTGCTTGCATGTCCATTCTCTGCCGCCCCAGCTCCTCTTTCTTCAATTTCAATCAACTTGTGCATGATTTACACATTATGTGACTCATTCCAGCAGCCCAGTGCCATAACCTAATCAATGTGAGTCCGAATTCAAACCGAGGAATGATATATGACCATATTTATGCTGTGCTACCCATGCACTTTTCTATTTTCATTCATCCTCACTGAATCAAACTTTTTAAAAGATGTGGAAAACATTTCAGAGTAAGCTTTTAAATCAGCCTCACTTCCCTCCATCATGGACTACTTTGAAGCCCTTTAATATTCCTAATTAGTTAATGGAGCCGATTGCATTCACAAAACCCTGCAGTCAGCATTTCTATCTTCCAAGGCATCTATATATTTTTTCTCCTCATTCCAACTCCTTCTCTTTTCTTTCCTGGAGAAACATTATCAGAGCGAGGACTCTAACAGGTCTTCAGGCTCCAGCCTGAACAACCAATGGTGGCAAAGAGCCATCCTCGTCTCTGTCTGAATTAAAAAGGCCCCCTTTTTTTATTTTTCTCTTCACTAATTGAAGAGAGGGGAAAAATGGGACTAAAGGGAGTTTTAATCCCCCCTCAGATCCATGTGATAAATCTTCTCAGGATTCCAGCCTGAGGGCTTTAAGCAGCATCATTAAGATGGTGTTCAGCGGTCATCTACAGAGTGTCCAAGCTCCTTCTTCACTGGTCTTATTTTTTTTTTTTATCACCCTATAAGGGATGTCATGTTTTGTTGTCCACTATAGTTTTATTTGATTAAACTTAAAAGAAGTTTAGACTTCATATCGACTGTTGTTGGGGGCGAGGGGGCTTTTAAATATTCAAAAGACAGAATAACTTTAGAACAAAAACTGATTTCAGAAACGTATTAAAAAACACTATGTTTATAAAGAGAAAAATAACTTTCTGAATATATTTCTCTTTATCAAAATATTTGAGGGGCTGCTGGTGTCAGATAACTAGGTATTTCTAAGAGATTTTTTGTTTGTTGCACGGATAACCGATATCCGAATTCGAATGGTCTCTCTTTTTATCTTTTTATCTTAATCACTCTATGAGCTCTTAAATGCACCAGTCTCTGCCAGTGAAACAGGCCCTCAGCCTGATTCCACTTCCACCGTGCCAACAGTTGATAGAGTTTAAGTTCAAAGCATCATTTTTACTTATCAAAGCGTTTTCTTTTTACCTTTTATGACCATAAAAACTTTAAAATTGTGATGAATGCGAATACTTTCATGTTTGCAGGAATAATCAACATAGTACTTCTTTCATTTTTTGTTTGACATTTTATCATGTCAGCTAAACCAGATATATTTTAAATCCTTGTATTTATCTACTTGTTTCCAAATTGTGTTTTTCAGTTTCGTTTACTGAGTTAGAGAGTTTATTGTTCACAGCGAGGTACAAGCAATAGTGACGAATTCTTAAAACTTTAAAACAGATTATGTCATTTTAAAAATAAGATAAAAATACATCCATGATTTTGTTTTTTTGTTTTGAATCTGTTTAAAGAGAAAGTATAGTCCTGCAAGATGATCTAACAGATTTATGTAATGTTTAGCTAAGTCAAGCTGTGTCCAGTTTAGGCTCACTCTTCATGTTGTTCATCCAACCTACAGTAATTTCAGCCACAGTTATATTACCAGTAATAAATCATTCTGCCTCTGTTTTTCCTGCTGCTATCATTACTGGTTACTGGCTGGATTTTGCAATTTTGCAGGGAGTCGTTTATTTCTGCTCAGCCATTTATATTTAGCTCTTGTCAGTGGTTCAAATATGGTTATGATTGCCATGTTAATTTTAGGCCTTTAATCTTTTATTTTTATCATTATTTTTGGTATGATGAATGATTATTAAATTAACTGTTGAAATTATTATGAAAACATATATTATACATATATGCCTGACTTATACTTACAAACGTTTGTCAGCATCATCTTGTACAGTAACATGTCTTTTTCTGGTTCAATATTAGAAGGCTTTTTTTTGTCTAATTCATAAAGTTAATTTAAATTCTAGCCCACTTTTCACTAAGGTTGAGGTCAAAGTTTAGCATTGGCACTTGGACGTGTAATCTTAGACTGCTTTATGCATTTAAAAACAAGTTCTGCTTCTAATCCAGATGAAACCAAAATTGCTTCCCCTTATTCTGTCAACTTAATGATTGCTATTGAAGTAGAAGAATTTGGAAAATGGAAATAAAGATACCCTTCCTCTTTCTCTTCCATTCAGTTTTTTGCAATGTACCAGCTTCAAAATATAGTGAAACAAGCCCATAGCATGATGTTGCCACCACCATGTTTGAAAAATATGACAGTCCTCCCTTTGACTCCACCAAACTGGTGGTACATGTCACAAAGTGAATGAAATTATAGAAAAGGAGAACATTCAAAATTATCGACAACAAAACCAACATCCAGAAGGTTAAAACATCTAACATAAATATGAGGAAAATGAAGCCTAAGGCATCAAAACTGTTTTCAGAGGAAAAAAATCTAGTAAGTTCTGACCTCAGCCATTTTGAAATTGCGTAAAGTATGTTTACAGGCCAAGCCTGTGCCAGGAAATCAGACCACCAAATTCACCAAAATATTCAAATAAGGGATCTTAAAATCCTTAAAACCACAGATAACTGCTAAATTCATACAAACTTTATACTAGAACTGTAGATGTAAGAACTTTTTAACAATGGTAAAACAATTAATTACTGCTGCAGCACAAAAGGAAATGTATTTGCACATTCTTTTGTTTTTCACGTGAGAAAAGTTTACAGTTTTCTTTGATTTGTGTTTGACTTCAATATGTTGCACTTTTCTTTTATTAAATATTAATGCATGACCCAGAAAAGCAATGCAAAGACTCATGTTAGAAAGAGGAATTTTCCCAATCTGACTGAATATCTACAGGTACATCAGGGTTAATCCAGGGGTTTGCTTTTTGTTTTGTGCAGCTTTATATATGAATTTTAAGGTTTTATGATTTATATGATGTTTTACTCATATTTCATTCATGAAAAATATGACACCAGGTGTCATTTCAATGTTTTAATCTCTCTTTTCAGTTTGATGAAAATTTGAAGGTTGCAGTTTATTGAATCTACAATATAAAGATGTCAAACTTGTCTCAAGGATGAATGACCTTATATAACTGAGGAAATGAGGCTCTGTTTTCTTTCTGCAATAAATTAAGTTTTCGCCACCTGAATATCTATTACAGTTACTGGTTATAAAGTGCTTTTGGTTCCTAATAAATCATTATCAGTGGCCCAGATATTGCTCCTTTTTTTTCTTCAAATCAAAGTGAAAATGAACTGAGCCTTTACAGTAAAGCCTCGTTCTGGGAAAAATTGTAACTTAGCTTGTTGAATTTCTCTGGTTTGGTATGAAAACAAAAACTGATTGTGGTGAATGTGGTAGTAATAAAGTCTTATTTTTTCTACAAAGAAGGATTGTGTGTCTTTTTCCTTTCTGTCTTCACACACTCTATTTATCTATTTATGACTTAACTTTCATTTATAAGCAAATTAAAAAGATCTATGATGATAATCACTATATAGGGACTGGCCTGCTTGACATACGTATTCTTGCTGAGTCGCTGGAAAATACTGGGGGATATTTTTTTTTCCTTCGACAGCCTAACAGAGACTGGAATTGGTTTTTAGAGAGGATTTGTTGTTTGATCTCTTCACAAAACTTTAAACAAGATCACTTTCTGTTTGAGCCGAATTTACCAAGAGATTTCCATCTACAAATGTAGCTAGTGTTTGCTGACAGCATTTTAGATGGATTGATGTTATCAGGGCATGATCTAAACTTTGGAGTAAGAAAGGATGGTGGAGATTAATGCTGCTTTTCTTTCTGTCTCTGTAATAGATCAGAAGGCTAAAGATTTCGGAAACGATCCTGCTTTCAATCACAAGCAGCACATCAATGGAGGTAAGGTCCTCTCCTCTCACAGCCAGGGGCTACACTGTCTGTCTCACCCAAACCCTTCAATAGAAATACATCTGTAAGCAGAAGCATGCCTGTAGCTTTTCTTTATACATGCAGTTCCACAAGAAATGAGCCTGTGGCGATAGTCAAGCAGAGTTTGCACTGAGAACAATGTTACAGAGCTTTAAAAAGGTTTCTCTGAATGTCTTTGTTTTTCACGCGTTGATGACCCACAAAGAATGACACAGCTTACTCCTGTACACGTAGAACATGACTGTAACAATCACAGCTTAGAAAATCCCCGCTATTCCTTGATTTTTCTCGCTTGTTTGCTTACTGTCTGTCTGAAGCATTGCTCTGAGTGGGTTTTCTCATAAAGTGCTTAAAAAGAAACATTTGCATAAATGTTTTTACACATAGTTAACCAAGAATCTTACTGCATCATTAAAAAGCTGTTCTGACATTGATGGAAAGCCTAAACATACATTTAACAGAAGTATTATGAAAAAATTATAAATATGTAAAGCTGCAGTCTTGAAAAAGTGTTTATGCAGTGTAAACTAGTTTAGATGCTATTACAGTATATTAAACTTAAGTCAATTTTCTTTGAATGTTGTGAAACAGAGACAGACAGGACAGCACAGTTTTCATGTTAATTCAGTTTTCCGTTATATTCAGTATCTTTTAGTCTGATACTCCATAATAAAAACAGATGCAACCAAATTACTATGTAAATATCAGTAAATGTGCAAATTAATTTCAGCTGTTCTATGAAGGCTTATGAAGTTCACTGGAGAATATTAAAGAATAAATGAAATTGGCAGACAAAATGTATGGAGAAGAGTTATAGCATAGCTGGAGCCGAATGACACCTGGATATTAACCCTAAACTAACAGGCTGAGCAACAACAACAATAACAAAGAAGCAGGCATGAAAACCATAGTAGCTCTGGAGGAGCTGTAGAGACTCACAACTCAAAAGTCTGTTCATAGGACAACTATTAGCCGTGACCTTCACAAATGTGACTATTGAAGAGAGGGGAGAAAAACATTCATGATTTTTAAAAGAAAATATGTAGTCCCTTTTCTAGTTTTTCCTAATTCCAGATAGAGGATGGAGCTAATTTGTGGAAGATGGTTCTACAGTCAGAAAGAAATTGTAATGTGTAACTGTGCAGCCAATATACTACATGCATGTCTTAAAACGAGTGCAAACATGTTTTTGTGCACAGAGTAGACGTTAAAGGAAGGTGCAAAGTGATTGATTGTTTTTTTTTGTTTTTTTTATGCAAATCAGAATCTAATGACAAAGCTGAGCAAATTCAAGGATGATGGATATGACAATGAAACATTTCCCACGTGCAAATTGATTTTCCAAATTGGAAACCCCACTGGTTCTGCAGTTTTTGCATCTTTTTTAGTACTTGTGAAAGTCGGCTACAAACTGACCGCTTAAAATATTTACGATGACCACAAAAATAAAATGACAGAGGAGGAAGAGAGATTCTGGGTGTGAAGAATTATATTTATTAACAACAAAATGTTGTTAATAAAGAAAAACATATTTACAGACTGGCTCAAATTAATGCAGCAGGATGGTGGACAATCATTGTGCAATTAAACCAAAACGAAAATGGACAAATATTATGGCATACTTAGAATATCAAAGGATTCCTTCTATCTCTGTTTCCAATGGTTGAACCACATCTCTCTTTCAGGTTCACTCTCAGATGGTCAGTAAGGAAACCAGTCTGCTCATTTTAATGGGCAGAACCAAATCGGTTTGCACATCTTCACATCTGTTCAGTAAAGTTTGTAAATCAACCATTTATTGCACATTCTTAAAACAAATAAAAGTGCAATTGAAAATCAGGTCCTAAGTCTCAATAAAGTACTTTGAAGTTTGAGTTTTAAATGGAAAAAACAAATAGAAATACTGAGAGTTATAATAATTTGTAAGGCAAAGTACTTACATTGGTTTTATTTTTTTATGCTTTTTTTCAAAGTGATTTCAGTGATATATAATAAGGGGAGTCTTTGCCTTCAGTTGAGTTTCTTTAAGTGTCAAAACTCTTTTTCCTAAACTTCCTCTTTTGTCTCCAGATTTTGTCTTCTCAGGTTGGCCATCCTCCTTCTCCACCCCATCCTCTGACATGGACCCCTCCTCTGTGACGCTGGTGTCAGAGAAGGACAAGGACAACGCCTGGCTGTACACGCTGGACCCCATCCTCCTCACCATCATTGTGATGAGCTCGTTGGGCGTCCTGCTCGGAGCTGTCTGTGCCGGCCTGCTCCTTTATTGCACGTGTTCGTATAGCGGACTTTCCTCACGCTCCTCCACGACGCTGGAAAACTACAACTTTGAGCTATACGACGGGATCAAGCACAAAGTGAAGATAAACCAGCAGAGGTGCTGCTCAGAGGCATGAGGAACGACAGAGATCCCCTAAAGATTTTCTTTTCTTATTTCGACACAGACATGAAAAAGAAGCACTATCTGAAATTTCCATCCCTGCCTGAAATCTTGCTGTTCCTTTGCTCTGATGTCAAAAGGGGTTAACTCTGAACTCTCCATGTGTTGAAAGGGGGGGGGACATTTGATCTCGCTCTGAGGTCTAAACCAGAGGAACGTCTGATCGCAGTTTCCCCGAAGCAACTGAGTCCCTTTTTCTCCTCTGCCTGCAGGAGAAGCCCTGCTCGTTTCTACAAGCCTGTGAATGAATGATTGAATGAAGGAATGAAAATAAAGAATATAAATGACTAAAGTACCATAAGATACAGCCCACCAGACACTGGAATAAAGCTGCAAAGGAAGTAGACTTCAGCACCCATGACAATCTGGACATGTAGACAACAAACGGCAGCACAGTCTGGGGTGTCCTGGTCAGGACATTCTGAACGGTACTTTGCAGAACTTTAGATTTTTTTCCTCTCATCTTACAAGAAGAAATGAGTTGCAAAAAAAATCTCAACGTTTCTGCTTCACATTTCTTGCAAAGACTTCTCCAGTTGTCTGTTTTAGTGTGGGCGCTTCTGACTCAGATCAACACATATCAATTAAATGCCTATGATTCTAAATAGCTTAAAAAAATAACATCTCAAAGAATCAAGATTTTTTTATGGTAAAGGAAAGGAGGAAATTTAAACCCTTATTTTGTTTCTGGAAGTTTCTGGTATGAGTTCTGTGAGTTTTAAACGTCCATAAGCCTGCCATGTGGCGCCCGCTAGCTCCTTCGTCCGCCTTTGGTCTGCGCTTTGTGAAACCAGTGGCATAGAGAAGTAATGGTGACTGTTTTTGTTATGTTTTAGACTTGTGTCTACTTGGATGAAAAAAAGATAAAGAAAAAGCAAGCTTCAGTTCGTAGCAGCCCTGTAGAGCATATGATCACATTTTTCAGACCTTTCTTTTAGAGTTTTGTTGGACTTTTAGCTGTTGCTTTAGTCTTTTAACTATTTTACATTTCCCATTACAGATTATCAATCTAAGAATAGGGGAGAAGTTATACATGGGACAGAAAATCAGAGTTTTATCAACAAAAAAAGCTAACATGATGTTATGGAGTTGTGCTTTAGATTCAAAATTCTAGAGTTTGTTTTTTGGTATCTATATTTCTATATTTTTTTGATTTTCAGACTGTATGATGCCCAAATGATGGACAGACACTGTGTAAACAAAATGTCAGTAATTATTTTATTGCAACCTATGGATTGCCAAAGAGCTGTGTATGTGCTCGGTGGGTCTGAACAAGTGTTAAATAAGGCTGGGTGGACTGAGAGTGATGAATTGAACTGCTGTTGAAACATCATTCTCAATCCAAAGAGGCCTGATTTTTGGGGGGGGGGGGGGTGATTGGGAATCATACTGTTGACTTCTTTAGACACACAATCGAGCCTTAAGCAAATTACAGTATACGCTGTATCGGAGGACAGCCATTAAGGAGGGCCAGTGCTGCTGGAGAGACTGATAATTCATATGAGACACATATATTTTCAAAGACACACATCTTAGTACCTCTTTTTCAGAACTTTGTGTTCCTCAGGCCCACATCTGAACTTTAAAGGGGTGAGTTTGGTTTGTTTGAAGCTGTGCAAAGTAGGTAGGAGCTGCCAGCATCTTATCAGCAGTGGCAGCAATCAGAGTGATCTCTGTTTTAGGGAATCAAATAGAAATTCTCACAGTGGAGGGAAGATGGGTGATGTAACTTTTTTTTTTTACAGTAACAATATTTAATTGCAATTTCCTTGTCATAAAAGTAAAAAAAAAAGAATCATTTCTGATGTTGAATCCGACACACATTTACTATTACTACTAATTTGATCTATTACAGAGAAACACTGTTAAGCTCAAACACAGTATTTGAGGGTGCAATTTCAGCACCATTACTTACTGTACCTTTACACTGCTGGTAATTTAGTAACTTTATTGGGTAAAAAATGATGCAGTTTGGTGTTTTCGACCAGCAACCAAAGGCTAGTTTCATACCCACTTTGACAATCAACAATTGAAAGTATATTTCTAATCAACACAGTCTACTGTAAAAAAAAAAAAAAAAATGTTATGTCACTTTAAAAATATTTCCCCCCAACAGAGATGCTTCTAAAAACCAGGCCTTCTGCCGGTATGATCTGATGATGTCCTTTTATCTCCCAGATAAAGGAGCATTTACCTCTTTCTAGATTCAGTTTTTTATGTCCTGTTTTTATCGATATTGTTTTAGACCAGATCAAAAGAAATTCATGTGGCAGATGAGGAGCTTGATATATTTTGGAGCTATTACTGGCAATTTAAATAATTTTCAGTCAAGAAAGTCAACAAAGGCTAATTATTTAAATCACAGCATTCAGAACTAGAATGGAAAATAAATTAGTTAAGTTTAGGCATACATTATTTTCCTATGGATAATTTACGGTCCATGGATGGAAGGTAGTGTTTTTTAGCTCGACCACAGAAATTCACTCATGATTCTCCAAACTGAGACAGCTCTGATTGCTTCCTGGTGCACATAAGACGCCCACATCTTGTCGTCACTCCACACAACTCCACTTCAAACACACAAATCATGCATCCATCAGAAACAAAAGATAAAACCATAAACTACTTAATAATTTGAACCTCTTCCAAGGTTTTTGGTTCTTGTATTGGCGCATCTTTCAGTTTATTTCAGGTGTGGTATATGACAATATACGCTCAAAAAAAAAACCACTGAGTTGACCAAAAAACAGTGACTTATGGTATTCTTCACCTTTGAAAGAAAAAATGAAATTTGCTCAACATTTTATTAGCTAGGAAAAACTTCTCTGATTTAGCATCCGGTTTTATTCACATGAAGAGCACATTACAGCCTTTTTTCTTGTGCTGTTTGGCTAGTAACAGAAAATTCAAATGAGGTGCCTTTAATGATGTTCAAATATCACTTTCACAGTTAATTCATCTACAAAATAAAACAGTACAGTAATTCTGACCACATTTGTCTTTTAAGATTTCATTCTTGTTTTAGGAAGTTCATAAAAATTAAGAATAAAGCAGAATATTGTACAGTTTTTCTTAGTTATCTAAGATACTATTTATTGCTGTCAATAAATGTCTAATTAATAGAGATTAATAATGTCAAAGGACAAAAACGTGATTAATCCGCTTGAATAGTTAATTAACTTTCTCCCAGTTAAGCTAAAAGACTTGGAGGAATTCACAAATGGGTTTTCGTAACACCAATGCCATCAGGAAAATAAGGACAAATCATGGAAATCATGGATGCAAATTGGAAAATATTCCTGAAAATTAAATATTCTACCATAAAACTCTACATATGTATCAAACAGAACAAAGGGAGTCATCAAAGGGATATGCTCTCTATTTTAACTATAAATGTGTTTAAGGTCCGGAAGGAAATTATATGTCATTTCTTATTATTTAAGAATATGAAGCGCAAGAAAAAAAATTATTAGGTTGATGGAATGAAGGCATAACAAAAACAAAACATTGTACCATACAGCAGGGTTTGTTTTTCAAATAAAAATAAGATGATGGTGATGGAGGAATAGGAACATGTTCAGGGCCGGTCACAGACCTCGCCTTGTTTTTCTCTCTCTTCATGCTCATGTTTAACTCTGCTAGAACATCATCAGATTTTAAGTCCTTCAGAGACTCTCTTTGCTCTCTGGAGCCACTAGGATGCGAGTCACACTGCTTTCAGACAAGTGGAAGGGGCGGAACAAATTTCATTTTTGCCTGGGGCCCATTTTTCCTTTGTCTCTGACTTCCTCTCTTGTCTTCTCACTGTCATAGGCATGCGGTAGCCTTGAAATGCACACTGTAAACATAGTTTTGGAAGGTGTTTAATGATTGCCAAAAAACAAGGGAGAGAAAGAAAAAGGGAAAGAGATTAAGAATTTACAGTCCATCGATATTTTTATTTTTATTTGGACCTTTTTCCAAGTGCCTTGGAGCTTTCTATCTTTTTTGATCTCTGACTCTTTCTCTTTCCCTGCTGATGTCTCACTCTGACTCTTCTCTTTTACCCGATGCAACCAAAACATCAATGAGTGAGCAGTGAGTACATGAGCAAGGTTAACCTGCTCTGTCTCCTGCTTGACTGTTCTTTATTTCCTTCTGAACATCCAGATAGTTTTACCTCTTCTCTCTTTGCAGGCTACACACAGGCACACACATTTATGCACAACTGACTGACGCAAACACAGTACATTATGACACACCGACGGCACTGGCCAGAAACTAAACTCTTTGTAGACTTTGTACAGAAAAGTTTCTTTTTTTAATGTTATTATTATTTAATAAAGGCTAAATAACAAGTAATCTGACTGCATGTCCTTATTTTGTGTGTTTACTATTAATTGACATGATGATTATATAGATATACTGCATTACAGACTATAGAAATCTGCAAGTTGTGTGCCTTTGTAGATTAATAATTCTATGTTTTTGCAACCAAGTATTGGTAAACAACTTACCATAAGGTTACTGTATTCATCAATTTTACTGTATCTTATCTGTTTATATTCAAAACACATAATTCCAAGGCAGTCAGACTTCAATTTCATATCTAATTACAGTGCAATCATATATAGATTCAGATGTGTCCCCATCTTATCCAGTATGTCTGCCGTAGCACATTACAGTACTCAGTTCATCACTTAATGCCAACTTATAGTTATTTATCTTAGGAAACCAAGCAGCATGCATTAAATCAGCAAACTTGTCATTTATCTCAAGCAAGTAAAAAGAAACTACGGTGCCCTTGAAGTGTGAACAGCATCAAACAATATTTAAGGTCAAGGTCAACTTTATTTCTATAGCATATTTACGACAACAACACTGCTGCCAAAAGTACTTCACAACAAACATATAACAGCAAGGAATACAATACAAACAAGGCATAATAAACTGTAGTGTCAAGAACAAAGAAACCGAAAATACATATAAGAAGCGGTTTAATGAAAATTTTTTAAAAAGACTCTGCAAACGTGTGCGTTTTAAGGGAGGATTTAAAACACCTATGAGTCGGGGCCAAAGCGGATGCTGAGGAGCTGATTGTTCTGCAGCTGGGGGGGCAGCAGCGGCAAAAGCTGTCTCCTCTGGTTTTCATGGCATAGACAGACAGGAGCTCAGACTGATATAGAGGTGACAAAAATCTAAATAATCAAATTTTTTGAAGTGGATTCCATGGCAAACAGGGAGCCAGTGCATACAGGAAGCATAGGTGTAATGTGCTCCCGTCGTCTGGTGCCGGTCAGCAAATGTGCCGATGCATTCTGGACCATTTGCAGCCTGCTTATGGATGCCTGGTCCAAACCACACTATAAGTGATATTAATCTACTGGAAGAGATAACAGTGGGAAAGTGGAGACATTGCTGACCCGTTTGGCTATTAAACAGCAAGTCGTTCTCCCTGTTCTAGTTTTTTCAAAAACATGAAGGTTATTAATGCCCTAAACATAGCTGCTTGGATTGAGAATAAATTTAATCTCTAAAATAGAGTCTATAGAATCTCTAGATATTGATGCCTTGCAGCTGACATCACAGACATATGAATCTAGCCGTGGCCATATTGAGTACCTGCCCTGGTAGGTATGGACACCATGGTTTCCATATATGTTGCCGTGTGTGACAATAAAAAAGGTGACCCTAATATTTCTTTCCTTTTTTTTTCTTTTTTTTTATCAGTGTCCTGTCTGGCGATGTGGCAATATGAATAATTGTCTTAATGCCAAAATGAGCTTAACATATTTTTCTTTCACAAGTGGAGCAGTACGGCTATCGCCATGGTGTTCTGCTTGATTTATGCATATAAATTGCTTTACTTTAAATCATGCAGGGAGTAATACAGCTTATATAGACACTGCAATGTACGGTAAGTAGAACAGGAAAGGAAAACAGAAAAAAGGAGAAAAAATTAAAGAAAGAGGAGATAAAAGGGAGATAACGATAAAACATCTTGAGTCTGCTTCATCTCCTGCAAAGAGATGTAAAAAGAACAGCACAAACAATGGATATATTATAAGAGATACAATAAAGTAACACCTTGATACTATCGCTGCATAATAAGTAGTATTATTTAATCTGACATGTATACTGTGGTAGCTGAAGATAAGAATATGGGCTTTCTGTGTGGAAGTGAATCTCTAAGTACCTGGAAACAAACACCTGTAGTTGTTATATTACCAAATATTTTTTCAACACTCACCAGCGATCAGAAGGGCTGAACCAGACGCTGACTGCAAGTAGCCATCTATCCAGTGTACATTTCTAATCAGGTGAGTTTCAAAACAAGTTGGGAGAGCTTGCCTGGTTGTTGCCAACTGGATTTAATGTATTTTACATGTTAGGGTCTTTTTTTTGTTTTAGAAATTAAGTGATTAGATTACACTGATTAGACACCTTGTGAAGAAGTGCATTTGATAACGAGTACTGTAGATTTTGCTACATACTTTAACGTTGTATTTAGCTGTTTACATAAAGTAAGCATGTTCGGTATTTTGACAGTAAAGCACAGAGAGCTGGTCTGTAGACTGTGATGCTCGAAGTCATCGTGGAGAATGTGGAACGGCTCTCCTTAATTAACATGACGGAGCTGCTCCATCAGGTGGATGAAAGCATTTATGAGTGGAGCGGAGCAAACGGGATGTGGAATAGGGGGGTAAGCTTTATCAAAAAGGAAAGTTTTAAGCCTAGCCTCAAAAGTAGACAGGTTGTCTGCCTCACGGACTAAAATTGGTAGTTGGTTCCACAGGAGAGGAACCTGATAACTAAAAGATCTGCCTCCCATTCTGCTTTTAGAAATTCTAGGAACCTCTAGTAAAGCTCCATATATAGAGCGAAGTGCTCTGTTAGGAACATAAGGAACAATCAGATCTCTGATAGTTGGAGCTTGGCTATTTTGGAATTTTTATTTAAGGGACAAATTATTTTAAATTCTATTCTGGATTTACCAAGAAGCCAAGAAGATTTAAAAAAATATGCACACCCATTAGAAGGCCAGTGGCTGGAAGTTGGAGGGGATTTTACTGCCATTCGGCTACCATTTGGCTGGTTTTTGACAGGAAAGGGCCATCTTGAATGGCTGCTACTATAAATGCACCCGGAAAACTTTCAAAAGCTTTCTCACATCTTTCTTCCTCCTGTTTTCCGATAAAGGCTATAGATTCTCCTACCTGGTCTATGGATCCATACAACTCCTTCAGATTGACTGGGGACGAATCGGCTACTTTTCCGGTCAGTACTTTTCCATCCTGCCTGTCAGATTAGTTGGGTGGTCAGGTATTTTTTTCCTTGGTCTCCACTTTCTGTTTTCTAAAGAAACTCTTTATGAGACAAATTTATTTATAGTGAAAATAAGTTACAAACAGGTTGGTTCTATTCATTAAGCTTTTTGCCATTTTTACCTGTAAAATCTTGGAAAACGATGTGTCCATCTGTTAACAATAATTAATTGAGCACTGTGAAATCCCTTAGTTACAGCGAAGGTTGAACATGACTAGAATAATAACTCTGCCAATCATTTTCCACCTCTGGTTATTTAATTTTCACCTTCTCTATCCCTCACTTTCTCCCTGTCTCTGCAGCATATTCTGACATTAGTTTTCTACAAAAGCCCAACTAATGAGGGAGTCAAAGATTTTCCCCTTTAATAAACTCCTAGATACTTTTATCCCATTAGCATGTCACTATTAACCCAGATATATTAGCTGTAAAGTCAAATCATACATGTTTTTCTCATTCATTTGACCTGTCCTAAAAGGAGCTTATAATTATAAGTCAACATAATGGGCTATATCTGCAAACATAACTGTGTATTTTTCTACTGGCAGCACTAAAGAGAGCTCTTCTTGCATTTTCATTTTAAATCCAGATGTTTGTAATCAGACCTCTAATTGTTTTTGGCACCAATACATTTGACCAATCAGCATTTCTTCGCCATTTTCTTCCTCCTGTTTTACTTCACTCTCATTCATCTGTCCATCATCCCAATGTTCCTTCTCTTCCCAGGAGACTGACCTGGTTCTCATGCTTCCTTTGACATAAACCGGCCAATTTCAGGCAGAAGATGTGCATGCCTAGCACAAATGTCAAACATTTCTACACACTGAGTTGAACAGAGGCATCCACAACAAACTGGAGCATAAAGCCCTCGGATGCACACGAGCACTTCAGACAGGTCTCTTGTGGTTGGCATTTGCTGAGAGTGTAACCTACTAACACAGATTTTCTTCTCTCTCCTTAGCAGAACAAATCATTGATCAAACACACACCCGTACATAACAAATTTCAGCTTCTTCAGCGGGTTCTGGATTTGATAGGAAATAATATCTGATCAGTGGAATTACTGCTGCACATTAGATTAAAATCAACTTTTAGATTTAAACAAGTGCGCTTTAAGAGAGATAAACAAAAAAAGAAAAAACATTAAAGTTTAAAAAACAAAGTATTTTAGCCCATTTCTGTGAATAACTCCAGGCTAATTGAATCTAAATCTATTAGGGTTCAAGCTTTTGGGGGCGTCTAAGCAGATGGTCAGGAATCATCATCTTCATCATCAACCCTTCAAGCTTGTCTGCAGGGAAACTAAAGTGTTTCTATACCAACCAAAGGACATGATTTCTCAAGAGTGTCCTTATGGCAGGAAGCAGCCAAAGCACCTCTATAAGAATGATAAAGATATAGCACAGTAACAACACATTAGTAGTACTACTAAAATATTTTATTCTCTACTCACTGCTTGAGACAATGAAAGAAGTCAGTAATCCACTATTAAAAATAATAGAATTAATGGGAATTATATCTTACTCTAAACAAATTTTCGAGATGAAGATTGATGCTCTCACTTTGGTGATAAGGATTACCCTGGATGATGTATGAAACATAATGCAGAAATTGTTCTAAAGGGTAAGCTGTTTGGCAAACTGTAAAAAGAAGCAGCCAGCTGACTATTTATGGATGCTTGGAATGTGCCGTGTGAGGATATCATTTAGAAGCCGGGCAGAGGAGTCCTTAGCAAGGGATTATTTACAGCTCCATGTGCATGCTGAGTGTACTATATACAATGAATAATAATATATGTTTTATACTTCATTTCCCTTGCATAGATAGATAGATAGATAGATAGATAGACAGACAGACAGACAGACAGACAGACAGACAGACAGACAGACAGATAGATGAAGCTCCAACATAAACTGATCTTCTCGCTGTAAAAAACATACTTTTTTGCGAGTGGCAGTAATACTGAGCAGCATAGACAGCTGGTTGATGGCAAATTTTGCGCAGCAATAAAATGTGTCAGCTACGATCCT